TTTCCCTAAGACCTTTCCCATTCATCCATTTCTTCTTGATCGTTGCCTGGTTTTTAAACTGTGGGAAAGTTCATGAAAGTGAGGGACGGAATAAGAACCAAGTACTTACTGGTGTCGATGAAGGTACAGAGCTCTACTAAATGCTTGTTGATCTCTTTATAATCTTTCTTTACCATTCTGTTTGACACTAGCGATGTCCCTTTCCTTGCATCTTTTGGGGCTACTAATGCCGTACTATCTTCACCTTCAGTTCTTCTTGATTCTTCTTTGATTAAAAATTAAGATAGACTTTATTGTGATTGATGATATAACTGAATAAGGACTCTGATGACCCAAATTGGTACTTGAGCCCAGGAGTGTACTGCAGAAGTTGTCTTCACACCTACTGTTACTTCTTGATATGCAGATAGCTGTGATCAGTGCTACTTTTTCCTAACATGATGGCTATCTGCCTACAGAGGACTAAAAATGAGGCAGACTGATGGTCTACTCTTGAAGTAGAACAACAAAGCTATAGCTATAACATTTGTACCTTACCACAGTATAAGCTGCAACTGAAACAAGAAAATCAGTTCAGCATTTCTAAGATTTGGTTTCTGAGCAGCAATATTGCTACTTTTAGAGTAGTAGTCCTGTTTTTTCTATATATTGTAATATGACGGTACTTCTACTTTTGAGTGTATGGGTAATTAACACTCCACTGTTTTATTCTGATGTGGAGGCATAATTAATTTAACTAATTCATTTAGTTCAGATTGCATAGTCTTCTGCTGACATACAGGTCGCTGACACTTCTTTAGGGTGAGTCATATTGCTTTTGAAAGTTTGTGTACAAATTCTCCCTTGGGTAATTTTGCTTCGGCTAGCCACTTAAGTTAGCGGCTTTGTATATAAACTAAAGAGTTCATTTGACACCATGAGTAGTCATCTAGATTTGTTGGAAGGAGTGCAACTTAGTAAGAAGTATTTCTAATGCATGGGAAATTTTGATTTATACACACCATTGCTTAAGGAAAGATATGCAAAAGGAATTTTACCTTCTAAATAAATAATTCTGGTTTTTACTTATGTATTAATAACTGCTAATGAACAGTTTGGCATTGTTACAATGCTGAACAGCAGCAGGGTCAAAATTCTGCTCTCTCCTATCTACACTATATATTACATGCACTTGTTTCCCATTGAATACTGCCAGTAATGTCCATGGGAGTTCTATAAAAAATAGGGTCTAAAATCATAATCCCTTCTAAATATATTTGGAGAGCAATATATTTGAACAAATTACGTATTTGAAGATAGCAATATACTGGAAAAGGTACTTAACAGTTTGATTAAATCTGGATAGCTGAACTAGCAATATGGCTTTTTCTTATCCTTAATGAGAAACTAAGTGGTGACACAGTTTAATCAATTGAAACAGTCAGATTTATCTCAGAGGTACCAGGGCAGAAATTAGGCAAAAATAAGAAATGTGGTACTTTGCATACTTTCATGCAAAGTGAGTTTTAAGCTAGGATACAAAGGGCCAATTTGAATGTGCTGTTTAGTCTTCTGAGCTTCCTCAGCATGTTCATACCACTTTTGTTATTGGATAGAGGATGAAGAAATAAATATCATATGTGTAAAATAATGCCAATCTCTTCAAACTACATATCTTCAAAAAAATTATGCAAAAAGCAGAAAGTGTAGTTTGCCAAATGGCTAGATGGCATTTTGTGCCCATGCATCTCAGCTGTTTTCTGTGCAATGTAGAAACTAGAGCATGTAATATGATTTATATATGTCCAGAAGCCCTATCCATGGCTAGAGTAGAGCATCTATAATCCATGCAAACAGGTTGTCTCAGGATAAACTTGGAGGATGCCTCAGAGGGAAAGATCATCTGTGAGTCTGGTAAAAAATGAATAAAAATAATAGCATTTAAGTGTGCATTACATCAAATTGCATGAGTGGAGAATTTATGTTCCAGAAAATCAGGGATAGGTAGTGTCCCTTTAAATGATTTTTTGAGATCAGTGTTTTGGTGTTAAAAAGTAGGATTCATCTGTGATTTTCATTCACCATCTGTGACACCCAATTAGAAAAAAATTCATTTGGCAGCTTTTAATTGCTCATCTAGAGCTCTGAAGTGCCTTTGTTCTTAAAATCTATTATACTGGCACACAGCATCAGTATGCAGTTGATCTGCCACCCACTGGGGCAATATTTTGGGCAGTTTTCTTCCGAAGAGAAATTCTTTTGGTCCTATTAATGATTAATTTTCTTGAAGGAATCATAAATATCTTACATTTAATATGAAGACCTTTCTTTTGCCCCAGTAACCCTTGTCTTTAAAACTAGGTCATAGTTCTGTAGTTTTTGTTACTGTCGAGGACTTGAGCCAATGATCAAGACTAATGCAACTATAAAAAAGATCATGGTCTTTCTGAAATGTTAAGAAAAGTTGATAGAATTGCTATGGTAAGTGGGGTTTCACATAAGTGATATAGAGCAGATTGGAGCTTTTTGATTCCAGCAAGTCTGTTGGATGGAAGACAATAGGACAGAATCAGGAATGAGTTTTACAAAGTTTTAATCTCACAATGTATGTGAGAAGAGAAATAACTTCCGTACCAGGAAGATTGGATAAACTTTGATTTCCCATACAATTATTTAATCTCATCTCTAGTTTTATTCCAAATTGTCCAATGATCCATAGTATGTTTACCTGTATACTAAAGAAATAAAGAGACTGTTGAAGGTCCTTCACTAGGAATCACCTCTCCATCAAGGAGTTCATTTGTTACATTTACTTAAGACAACATACTTTTGAGGAGTATCAGGGAGATGGTTGTACGGGTGGTAATGATGCTTTGAACTTTTTTATTTTTCTTTCTGTCTGTAATGGAAGAAACAGTGAGACTGAAAAAAAGCTGTGTGGGAGAAGGTAACTCAGAAAAAGAACTCTAGGTATCAAATCTGGCTTCTGTTTTACTGGTATGTTAGGCATCTCCGCAAAGCTCACAGCAAGCTAGAAGTTGTAGGTCTAATAGGATGCAAGCACAATGAATACTTCTTGGGGGTATGTGATTTATAGAGGAGTTAGAACATCCTTTAAAATGGAGTGATAAAAATGCCACTCAGTCTAAAAGCAATGTGTTATTTAAGGATAACAAGGAATGTAAATTCTGAAAAGCTCTCAGGAAAGTGTGAGAAACGTGATCACCAATATCTATGGAGGGAAGCAAGTGCAAACTTTCATGTTATACCTGCAAACGACTCTGTTACTGGTACTACATTTCTACTCGTAAGAGACACAAGGGGGAGTCTGATGACAGGCAGATGATAAGCGTGCATGTAGGGGGAACCATCTTTCACAAAATGACAGCTGAGGCAGCAGGAAGCTGCCTAGAGCCAGTGGTCCTGTGATGGAGAAGTGGTGCCTCTTGTCCAGGGCCCCAAGTTAGTTTAAAAGTAAGCACTGAAAGACTTAAAAGACAAACTGCCACTCAGTTGCCAAGAATATCTTATGTGGGATTTGGATCCTGAAAGGCTTGCTGTGGAAGGCAAGTGCTTTAAAGATTTGGATCTCTAGAAAAAGCTTAAGAGGTGTCTCTGAAAAATCTTACATGACAATTTGGAAGGGAAATACATTTGCAGCAGGTTTAATGTTTGTATTTTCCTATCTGAAGTTTTTATTTTCTCAGTGTCTACCATTTTTTCAATCACAAAATTAACACTTTGCAGCCTCGAATAAAACTTACAATTTTAATTTCCAAATTGTTCTGTGCTTAAAAAAAATGGCAAGGATGCCACCCAGTTTGGGCCATGGCTTCAAAACAAATACTCACATGAGACTTAGATTCTGTTTGTGGATGATATGGGCTGTTTCCTGATAGTTACAGGTTTCTTTTCCCCCTTTTATCTGTTGGCTGTTAAGCACCAGTTAACTGTTCACTGGTATGCTGCAAGTTCAGGATTACTTTAGCAATCCAAAGATTTCACAAGGATTTTCCAGATTTATTTTTCACCTACTCTGTGCTTTCTCTCCTAAGCAGGCAATGGATGTTTCCCAAACAGAAATAGGGTTTTTAAAAAGCTTCTGTTGACAACACAGTGCCAAAGAATTAAACAAAAAGGAAACGGATAAAATGGTTTCCTCTGCAGTGATACAGATGCAAAGTTAGTTTGCCCATCAACAGTATAGTTGCAAAAAAA